GTCTATTTTTGTATCCCCAGAGCCTAGAATAATATACATAGTAAGTGCTCAATTAATACCATAATGTCTTTGGAATGCCATTCAGGATATCAGTAGGATACCCAACAGAATATCACAAATGCTCGCTGATTTTTTAAAAATACCATTTTGTCTCGAATCTCTCACACTTTCTATAGCAATTAGGGTGTATTTTACTCGAAGACGCAGAAAACTTCATGGACTTAAACTAACACAGCCTTAAACCAAAGGAGGCTAGTCATTTACTTAGTAGTCCAAAGGCGGGCCTTTCCAGTACTGGCATGACAATTCAATACTGTTTTCCAGGACCTGGATTCTTTTCCTCCTTCTTAGCCATCTGAAGGTCGCTGGTTTGCAACCTCAGCCATAAGGCATACCAGCCCAAAGATGGTGGCCACATTCTCTTATTTCAATGCACAAAGCAGGAAGCAAGCGGAATGGCACCAAAACAATGGCAATATTTACTCATTCTTGTCAGAATCCTAGGACTCCCCCAGTCTCAGTGGCTTCTCCCAGTTCCAGTGATGAGAACTGGGTCATGTACCTACTGCGGGACTAACTGGGGAGAGAGGAAAGGACTGCCATTAATGATTAATTCTGATTCATCCCATATTTTGGGGCTAGAAGAAAGGGAAACTGCTGGGGATGCGGCAACACTGTGTTTTCTCTTCAGGCACCTTAAACAAACCACACTGGAGCTCTAGTTTCCTCTGAACATTCAAGCTTTCAAGATTTCTTCAGGCGTTTTTCTATTTCCTATATCTTAATCATTAAGCCTTTTCCTTCAGCGACATTTACTTTTTCAACCAAAAGTTTTCTTTCATTGACTTGTTTACATAATCACTTCATTTCTGCATTCTTTTTCTTTTCCAAAGTGCTGACACATATTGCATTTTCAAAAAAGATACAAGCTTATTTTGCCCCTTCCTTTCCACTGCTTATATATACTTTCATTTCTCGACTGTATCAGGAGCCTCAGAGGCCAAGAAAATGTTTTCTGCTCTCAATGTACTTGACTTGCCCTTCCCCTTTATGGTTAATCACACATATGTAGACTTTAATAGGAAGCAACAGAAATCAGGGTTTCATAGACAAGAAGCACTGCTAACATTACAAACATCCTCTCCTAACCTGTTTATATTAAATTCTTTGCATACTTGCCTCCTGCTCTAGTCAGAAAGTCCCCAAACACAGTGGATTTCCCACTTCATCCCACCTTACCCAACATCTTTCACAAAAGCAAAGAAAGGAGCTGGGTTTCCATAGTAACACACGTGTGACAGTTGAGGATATCTGGGCATAGGTGAGATAACTCTCAGATTTAGTGGGGAGAGGAGAAATGAAGATTTTTTTCTTTTCTTTTCTTTTTTCTTCCAATAATGCCCTTCAGAAGCTAAAGAGACTCTACAGTGTCCGTGCACGGTGTTAAGTTTTCACTATCATACAGATTTACAGCTCTTAGAGAAAATTCAATTTCATTTTATTTCATGTGATTTTGTCTTGCCCACGAACAAATGAATGGAGACATAAGTTTTTATTTCTAAAATCACTCTCAGAAAGATAGTTCATGCTGGCATAAAAAAGAACATGATTAAGGAATCAGGAGACAGACACCCATCTCCCAACCAAATCTTCAAAATTCTCTACACGTTCTGACATCCTTTCTTATGGCAGCTAATCCTTCCACCAGTACTTCACATAGTGTCAAATTAGGTAAGTACCATCATATAAGACAGAATAGGAAAGAAAATATGCCCTACTTACTATGTTTCTTTTGCTTGTTAGTGGTTAAAAATCTACCCTTATGGCAACGCTGGGATGAACATTGAGAATGAATATCAAATGAATATGAATTCATCGAAAACGAGTATCAAATATCAAGATGAGAAATAAAATGAGCCAACTACCCTAAGGGCTGCAGTCTGTATACTTCTCCTTATCAAGAAAAGCGAACAGTAATGCAAGGTCAGAGAAAACATCCTGAAAAATGTCAAAAGATCTCCTACTCTTTATTATGCTAAATGGAGACTAGGGAGCCCATTCAGTATTTTTTGTGTGACTTCTATCAGATGCACTGCAATTCAGAGTTTCTCAGCTTCTGGGGACCTAGGAAATGAAAAGTTGCTTAAGGTTACATTCTGGATTCATAATCCCAATGCAAATTTCAAAAGAAAAAAGTCACTAAATGTTTACTTGCAAAATAAATGATTTTTCAGCTCCATTGTAATGCAACGTACTACACAGATTGTAATGATCTATACAAAGAAAGTTTGATGCTTCTCAAGAAGCCTAGGAATTTTAACACCATGATGCACAATATGGATCTTAAAAGAGACAGTCTGTCTTCTGAAAAGAAGTGTGACTGTTACAAAGCTAAAGAAACCTCAAACCCGCATTAAGATTTCACACAAAATATGAGACCTATGAAAAGCTAGGTGAACAACGCACTCATCTACAACATCTTCTTGAAATATCCCTGCCAAGAAAGCTCAGATACAATGAATCTATGTGAGCTCCTTTCACTTTAATTCACTTTTTCATAATACTAGTTTAGAATCAGATATCTATGGTTTCCATGATCTTAAAACATTCTTCTGATTCATATATATATATATATATATATATATATTTTTTTTTTTTTTTTTTTTTTTTTTTTTTGGCAATCTGCCCTCACTGCTGATTCTGGAGGCTCAGATATTACCTTTCACACTTTCACAAAATGTCATCAAGAAATGAAGCCTGAGTCAATTTATTACACATTTTGACATGATGCTTGCCCTCAATTATTTTAAGCAAAAACTTGGTATGTGCTATATACTATAGCAAGATAATGCAAAAATAAGTTCTCCGTTCTAATACAGGGGCCAAACAGCAACAGAACACTGGCGAATCTAAGTACACCTCTGTAGTAGTTTGATAACTGACAGAAAAGCTGGGAAGGGAACACCTGGTCTTTCCAGGATCTCAGACCAACATCCTCTCTACATGATGACCTTGTGGGGAAGAGAAAGGGCGAAGAGGTATGTCGTGACCAAACAGAACTGCAGAAATTTATTATTCACGAGAAATGTGATTTAGTAACAGACTGGCATAGACTAGTCTGAGAAGGACATAGTTTAAGGAAGGTAAATCCAATAACCAATCATTCATATAATCCAGGAATACTTGGAAATATAGCTTCTCCTAATTTGACGTTGTGGGTACGAGAGTGCAACTAACATATAACGCTACAGAGACCGAACTGGCAAGTTTAAAAACTAAGTAGTTAAAAAAAAAAAAAATGTTTCGGGAGGCACGCATGGAAGACCCGCGCCAACTGCTGCAGTAGATCTCCTAAGTACCGGAAAATTTCTCACCCTAAAGACAAAAGTCCCTGTTTTCTCGATTCAGCCCACGATTCAGCCCACATCCCTCAGCACCATTTCCATGCCCATCATTTAGGCAGCATGCCAAGGAGACGACGTTAAACGCAGAATTCATCACTCTCGCCTGCAAAACACCTTGCTCTTTGCCAGCATAGGGCACAGCGACCGGCCCCTCAGGCTCCGGCCCCTCCCGGACCCCACCAGCAGCCCTGTCTCCATACCACCGGCTCTAGGTGGCAAGGGAATCGCGCGTCCTGATTGGCTCATATCGAACCTCCGTCATTCGTCAGCTCCCCTACGATTGGTTGGCAGAGCGTGAGCAGGAGCAAACGCCCAGGCTGGCCGGGCGAAGGGAGGTGAGTAGGTTGATCCCGCGACTAGAGTTTTTCCCATTGGCTGACGGGTGGTTGTCACGTGGTACGAAGTGCCTCTCTATTGGCCGACAACAGTACCACGGGGTATAGAAACGTGATCTGGTTGGTTGGAATGAATCCCAACTTCCTACTAGGTGCCCCAGCTAGCTGTTGCTATGAGGTGGCTCTGGGCCTTCTGTTGCGCCTTGGAGCTCCGTTCTCCCGGTTTTCCAAGCTCCCATAGCCGAGAGGGCGTGGGAAGAGCTCGACACCAGTCCCGGGCTGGAGCAGGGCGGGGCCGGGGGCGGTGGGCAGGACCTACAGCGACGTCACCGGGCGTGGGCCTGGCTTCCGCGGACTCGCCTTCGCCGCCTTGGGAAGTGGGCAGAAGGGACCCTGCAACGCCTCCCTCAGTGTTCTGACGCTGAAAACAAAGCTTCACTTCGCTGTGTTTATGTTCGTTCCCTCAAAAAAGCTTCTCATTATGTTTATGCAAGATAAAACCAAAGCTCAGGAGTACTGAGACTGGGTAGTGTGTCAAGCAAAATTCCTCGTCGAGATCTCCTTCTGGGCCTTGCCCGTTTAGATTGCTCTGGCCCGCTAGCATCTTGTCTCCCCCAGATGCCGAGCGTGGGATTCTCAAGTCGACCAGGTTCCGGGCTCAGGCAAACGAACTGCGCATGCTCAGTACGCAGGCCTTGGGGTTCGACGGGGCGTGCGGGGTAGGCTGTTGCTGGGTGGCAGAGGAGGTTGTTTATCTAAGTGCGAGCGGAGGCTTCCGCACGGCGCAGTCTCCCGGGAGCGCGCGCGGCCGGTCGCCTAGGCGACAGGGAGCAGGGGCGGGGCTGCTCCGCAGAGCCCCGCCTCCTGCCGCCGGGCCCCGCCCCCGGCAGCGCTGCGGCTCCCGCTCGGGCGCGCGCTCCGGCACCCGAGGAAGCGGCGGTGGCGGCGGCGGCGGCAGCGGGCGGGGAGCTGGGCGTGGAGGCGCGAGGGGCGGGGCGGGCGGGTGGCACTGCGGGCCCGCGGCTCGGGCGGCTCCGGTGGCTCCGGCGGCTCCCGCTCGCTGCTCGTGCTCAGTGCCTGCCGGCGCCCGCGGGCCGCATTGCCGCCCGGCTCGGCCCATGCCCAGGGCTGCTGCTCCCTCCGCCGGCGCCCGGGGGGCCGCGGCGGCCGTGAGGTGGGGGCGGCCGCGGGAGGCGGCGGGGCCGGCGGCCGACGCAGGGTCCGGGGGCGCAGCGCGGCGGGCGTAGGTCTATGTCGCGGGCGGCGGCGGCGGCGGCGGCCGCGGAGGGACGATGCGCGAGTACAAAGTGGTGGTGCTGGGCTCGGGCGGGGTCGGCAAATCCGCCCTGACCGTGCAGTTCGTGACCGGCACCTTCATCGAGAAATACGACCCCACCATCGAGGACTTCTACCGCAAAGAGATCGAGGTGGACTCGTCGCCGTCGGTGCTGGAGATCCTGGACACGGCGGGCACCGAGCAGTTCGCGTCCATGCGGGACCTGTACATCAAGAACGGCCAGGGCTTCATCCTGGTCTATAGCCTCGTCAACCAGCAGAGCTTCCAGGACATCAAGCCCATGCGGGACCAGATCATCCGAGTGAAGCGGTGAGAGGGCCGGGGGGAGCGGGCAGGGGGTTTCGCGGTGCTGCCGGAGGCCGACGTCCCGGGGCCAGAACTCCCCGTGCTCTGGGTGGCCGTGGGCAGGGGGAGCTGTCTGGGGAGATGGCTCTGGGGTCTCATGCGCTGTAATCTTTTTTCTTTCTTTCTTTCTTTTTTTTTTTTTGCCGGCATCACCACCACCATCCTCTTGAATCTCAAATTTGAGTGCTTTGTTTCACAACTCAAATTTGGCATCCCGTGAACCTACAGAACAGCTCTTTGTCTCTTGGATATTATTAGTAGCACTTGTGCAGAACCCCAAAGGAAACAAAGTTTAAAACTTGCAGTGGGGGAGAGGGTTGGTAGGTTTGTGTTGGGGGAGAGGGGAGCTGTGCAGGCATAGTGGAGACATTTTCAGATTGAACAACAACAAAAAATCTACCTTGGCAATATTTGACAGCAAAAATTGCTCACATGTATATGGTAAAAATGTCAAGTCCAGAGGAAAGAGACCTTTCTCCTCTCTTAAAAGATTGAGTGGTGCCAAGGCGTTTTACAAAAAAATGAATTGTGCAATTAAGACGAAAGTTTAAAGACATTATAAAATTATTTGAAGTCTAACAGTTCCATGAGATTGAGATAGTTATAAGCATATAGGAGCACTGATAACTCCATTTGCATTAAGGAATGTGGCTTAACTTTTTAAAATCCAACTGCCTTACCCCCTTAAAAAAAAAAAAAAAAAAAAAAAAAGAAGGAAAGAGGAAAAAAGCGTTCCTGGAAACAAAACAGAAGTTTTTTCAAATGTGTAACTTAAGTACTAGCTAATTTAAAGTTAATGCAAACAAGCTCTTTCCTAATATGAACTCTTTTTTTTTAATGTGCATTTTGAAAATACAACTAGTAGCTTAAATGGCTTAAAATACTTGTTTTCTCTTAAATTAACTGAGTTTATATTTTCCTATAATTTCAGGTATCAGAAATGTAATATCTTAGTTCAAAGTTTTAGCAAATTTGTCTAATTACTACACATTGTTCTGTATGATTCTTATTATTAGCTAATAATTGCTAATAATTTTGATTTAGTATAATTTTTTTCTTACCTCATACTAGCTTTAGCCCTAAATTTGAAGACATTTACTGAAAGATAGTTGTTAGTGAACTATAGACACAAGCACATTGTAAGTCAGAGTCACTCATGTTAAAGAGCAAAGACCAAAGTCACGTGTACTCAGTAGGTACTCAAAAATTCATTACAAGAGGTGGATTTTTAAAGCAACATATGAGATCAAAGGGGAGGCCCTGTCCCCATCCCCTTTTAACTCATTGCACATGTATTTTAATAGCTAAACTAAGATTTTGTATGTTATTTCTTGTTAAATTTCAAACGAGAATGAAGTGAATATTTTCATGGTCTCTGTTGCTGTTCCAAGATCTGTAAATTTGATTGATAGCTTTTTACTTCTCCAGTCTCATTTTCTTAAAGTTAATTGCTATGGATAAAAAAAAGAACAGTTTTTGTGCTAAATTTAAAAAATGTGTACTTAAGGGGCTACACTGAAGTAACTCAAATCCTTAATTAGTATGTCCCCCCATACCACTAAAAAAAAAAAAAAAAAAAAAAATACAGAACAGGGCAATCTAATACATTGTCACATATCAATCTGAAGCCATATACATACATCAAATAATAAAGTGAATGCTCCAGCTACTCCATACTTTATAGGTATACATGTAATTCAAACATTGATAAAAGGGCACACCTCTTGACAAAAGCCTAGGGGATAGAATATAGCAAAATAGCCTCAGATAGTTGAGTCCACATGATTTTGTAGTCTTTTATGATTTAGTGGAGATTACTAATAGTGGGCTAGTCTGAACTTGGAAAGCTTGAAAAATGTATTTGTTTGCACCACAACCCAGAGAAGAAAAAAAAAGTAAAATTCTACTTTCCCAGGTGTCATTTTATTCGCTAGTCTCAATTCTTGATGTAAAAAAAAGCAAAACATGGATCTGCTGAAGTCAAGTTCATAAACTCTTTTCACTGGAGTTCATCTGTTGTATGGGCCCTTCTGTATTGGGCCCTTCTGTGTCCTGACATTTGATATCTCACCCAAACTTTATCAGCTGGCCTCACAGCCTATAACATATTATAAATAACTTGCATAGAAAGAAAGGATCTGTGTATATCATATATATTACAAGATAATAGATAATGCATATATGATACTAAAGTGGGCATTAAATGTGCTAGTAATTTAACTCCTCCCACTTACGGAGAATAAAACATGATTTTCAAATAAGGAAGTTTTCTACTCTTTCTGGGACTCAGTTTTTAAATTAACCAGTTGCTATAGGAAGTATCCAGTAATTATTCCCTCCCTCTGCACACTAGCTGCTTTACATATGACAACAGTTGTTTGGGGTTATTTAATATCACCATAATGTCAATGACAAAAGAGAGGTGCAGAGAGGTTTGGTATTTTACCCAAGACTGGCCACTGATGGAAGGATTTAAACCAAGATCTGTTACACTCCATGTACTCTTCTATACCAGGCTGCCTTTGAACTTGTTATTACTGGCAAATTCAATACCTGGTTTTTGGTCTAGGATGGCATTGTTCAATACAAGCATAATGTGAGCCACACATGTAATTTAAAAATTTCTAGTAGCTTATTTCTTTTAATTACAGCAGATCAAGTTTATAATGCACTTTTTAACACACTATATAAGATACTGCCATTTTAACATGTAAGCAATATTCAAAAATTGAGATACCTTTCTTTGCTTTTTATTCTAAATTTTCAAAATCTGATGTGTCATTTACACTCAGCACATCTTAATTCAAACGTATTTTCAGGTGCTCAGAAGGCACGTGTGGCTGCAGGCTACCATATTGGGCAGTACAGGTCTGAGATGGGTGTATTGCAGGGAAACGGTAAGACTCAGTTTCCTTATCTGCGAAAGAGATGCACCTTTCAAAGTCTCTAGTAGGATTAAATGAGATAATTTGTTTTAAGGTGTCCAACACAATACCTTGAACACAGAAATTACTCCAAAATTCCAGCTGTCCTTTTATTAATAACCTTGTCACCCTCCCTTCTTTAAATTTTATCCTTGAGATAAATATAATTTTCGAGGAGATAAATTTGTGACTGCCTTTTGAAATTCATTACCTGGTGTAGACAAGATGAGAATAAAAAGCAACTGGGATTAAAACAACCCTTGGGAAAATTTCGCTCGTATATTCTCAAAATATTTTCCCTTATTAAGGGCCTTATGGGAAAGGGGAGGAGACTGAAGATTTAACTTCAAGTATAGCACCAATTCATGGCCATACAGTAAAACAGAACTTTTTATTGGCTTTTTCTTGTATGGAATGTTGTGCTTTTAGAAAATGCAGAACAAGCCTGTACCCCCTCAAGTGTTTACAGGTGCAGAGGCGTCCATACACATACACTACCTCCTGTCCAAGCCAAGCAGACCAACTAAAAAGGCTGTATTTATGAATTCATATGCTTTCCTTGTTCAACCTGACTTCAGATGAGAACACACACTCAAAGGGTCATAAGGATACAGAATATGTTTCAATTGAAATAAAACTAGAACTTTTTCTGATTTCATAATTGCTGCTCCCATTCCTCCCAGGGTAAGCTGAGGTCCTGACTTAAAGTTATCTTGGAACATGCTGTCCAAGGCCTATTGTTCTCAGAATAAAGCCCAGAAATCTGCATGACCTTCCCAGGCCCAACAGGCTCCTGCTCCTCTCTGCCTTTCCTCCTCACCTTTTTGCAATCTTCCTCCTCCCTTAGGTTCCAGCACCCACTCCTGCTTTTAGTTCTTTGAAAGTACCTGTCTGGGCTTTCCTTATACATGGAGCAGTCATTTACCTTTTGCACTCAATTCCTACTCTCTGTCTCCCCTACTTAAAAGATTTCCTCCTCATGGAAGCCTTCTTCTCTTCCCAGACTGAGTTAACTCCTTCATGTCTTCCCACACTAGATTAATGTCATCCCTCACCCCTTCCCTGAACCATGCATACCCCAGACATCCTTGCCACCCTGTACTTCCTCGTCTTGTAGCACACACCGAATTTGAATTACTTGTGTGATGACAGACGTGCAGTCCGTCTTTGTCATTAAACTCTAGTCATATGTCGCTAGCACAGCTCCTGGCACAGAGGAAACGCTCAAGAAAAATGTGTTGAAAGAAAACTAGTGTTTGGAAAGCTAACTATTTTTATTGTCCTTTGGCCTCAGTTTCCCCAGACATTTCAATTTTGTAGATGGAGAGATGATTCTTCCAAGTCCCTTTTGCACATGGAGTAGATGGTGTCCCTTCAGCTCTAACATTCTGTCACAGTACTTGTACTCAGTTGGGGTGACAAGGGAAAGGGGTGAAGTTTGTAAGAATCTTAAAGCATCAGGAGTTACAAGGTCTTCCAGATGGAGGAAGTGGCATGGGAAACTCCTAGAGTGTGTTTGTTGGCTGTTCAATAGACCAGATTGGCTAAACTAGGGATTCATATAGAAGTGTGAGAGAAGGGAGGTCAGGCTAAGAAATTGTAAAGCTAACGTTACAGAAGGTTGAATACTTTGGACTTGATCTTGTAGTAAAGAACCATGATCAAAATTGGTATAGAAATGGTAACATGGAGGATGTGATAGAAGGGTTAGTGGCAGCAGACAAGAGTCAGGGGGAATAATCATGCAATATTGTGATCATCTATCTAGTTTCTGGGTGAAGTAGAATGATTCTGAATTAGCATGGTGTCTGTAGGAACAGAAAGGGAAGAAGGGATGCGGTAATATTGTAAATTATTATCAAAATAATATTGTAAAGAATGAACTAAACTTAGTTGAAGAGGGAGGGGGAAGGGTCAAAAGTAACCTTGGACACTTTGAACATGAGTGAGCAGGGTTATGAAGAAATAGCAGGGGTGGGGGGGCATTTTTTCTGCCTTGGCAATGGTCATCATGCACATAGATGTACCTAGTAAGTAATT